ACAGATGAAAGGAGGCACAAATCATTATGATTAAAAAACCAGGGAAGGACGGCACTTTTCCGCAAAATTATAGACCTATCAGCCTATTATTATCGATAAGCAAGATAACGGAAAAGTCATATTAAAAAGACTCAACGAAGAATCGGAAGCACTAGGCACCATACTAGAAGCTCAATTCGGGTTCATAAGCGAACATTCCTGCGAACTACAAGTATGTTTTACAGAATTCACTACAAAAGGTTTTAGCGAAAAAATGTACACGGCAACAGCATTTCTGGACGTCAGTAAAGCATTTGACAGGGTCTTGGATGATGCACTCATTTACAAAATGAATACAATGGGATACAGCGAGGCGATGACATGCCTCCTTGGATCATACCTAGCCTATTTAGGTCGCTAAGGGTCGTCTCCTTCGAAGCTCCAAACCAATTAACGCCCTTTTGGTGATGTTTTGACGAAGGACCAATGTAAAAATATCGTACGTAGTATTGAAGTTCGGTTCGGTTCGTAATGCCCCTTTGTCCGCTTCTCGTCGATCGATGCTGGTAGGGTTAATAAATGTTGAAGTTGTGGAGTAAAGGTGATTATTTATTGACAGCAACTCGTAATTACACAATATGGTGTTCGTTCGGTAACTACTCAATATTGACTGTGTTCATTTGAACTCAAATCCCCAATTTATAATCTCACACATAATAGATACATAAGCACCTTAGGTCATTGCTTTGTTCATTAACACCACCTAGCTTTTGCTTATAATACAATTTAATCTACGCCCTAATTGCGACACTTAGGAAGTTCAATTAGAAACTATTGCCTGTGAGACTTGTATACCCTTTGGAAAAAACATTCGAGTGCTAGAAGTTATTGGAATGAGGTATATTAATTCGTTTAAACAGCACCCTCTTCACTATACTCCAATGCTTCAGACCATTCCTTTCTGCCATATAGCACTCTGATGTGCGATAAAGAAACAACTATCAGCCAAATGTTGTCGGAGTCCTGAGATTGCAAGAACTCCAACACGATTTCCTAGCCCGATCAATGCAGCCTAGCGAGATACGCTTTTACATGTTATCTTCAATTGATATGATTAGCAAACTCGGTTTTGAGATTATTATTAGTATTTTTTGTTGGCTTGCTCCTTTTGTTAGTAGCGTTTTTATTTTTTGATGGCCGATGCCTTTTTCTTTGTTTAGAATATCTGATTAGTCAAATTATAATTCACTTAAAAATCATATTAATTAACTTTTTACAGTGCTATCATTTGTCATCGTTTTTAGACCTACGAACTTATCTTCTGAGTTACTTGTTAGCCAGTATCTGTTGCTTTGGAAGTTTATGCTTCCATCGACAAAACTCGCCGTATCTAATAATTTCTCTCAATATTGGGCTTGGATGGTTTTTCACGGACGGGACGGTTCATTCTACACAAAAAGTGCATTTATTTAAATAATCATTTTTAATTAAAATTTTTTAAGCTCCATTTTTTATTTGACACATTTCTTTTTACGGCGTACATATTTTTAGCAAATCAATTTTTCCCCCTGCGATTTTCAACAAAATTCAGCTTGTTCGTATGATTTTAGAGGTCAAATTTTTGACGACTGGATTATAACACTAGCTATATTTCTCCAAATTATATTATATATCTTTAGGTTTGATCTAATTTATTTATATATTTTTGGCTTTAGGTGCATCGTCCCTTTAACCAATTAAACCTTTTGAACACCAATTCTATAATTTATGGTCGATGGCTGTGGTCTATTTCTTATAATCTCCTTGCATCAAACTTTTATAGATAGCTGATTTAACTTATTCAATACATCTGTAAAAATAATATAATTACAAGTTTTCTTTTTAAAATTTGTTTCTTATTAATAATTATTCATCTTGACATGTTGTTAATTTGCAATAACCATAGTTAGTAGTCCGATTAGACTTAATTTACATTTATAGATCTGACCTTTATAGGTAAAATATAATATATTTTTAAACTCTTTTAATAATTGGAAAATTTAAGTATTAAATTTATTCCAAGGATTATTGCTTATGATGTCGTACATATGTAAAATTTTATTAGAAGTGTCTAAATGATTTAAAAAGTGACTGACCTTCTGCTCGTATTATAAAAATATACTAAATAACTAAAATAAAGTAAAAAATTAAGACTTAAAATTAATGGGCAATATCAAATATACCGGGTGCCCAATGATTAAAAATACCATAAAAAGTAGACAACAGATCATCATCATCATCATTCAATCTTCGCTTATCCACTGCTTGACATAGATCTCCCTCATAATTTTCGATCTATTTCGATCTTGTGCCTCTTGCATCCAATTTCTATGACAACGTTTTAGATCGTCAGTCCAACGTGTTGGTGGACGACCTCTGCTTCGGTAGGTATCATCTCTTGGTCTCCATTCCAGTATCCGCTTTGTCCATCTATTATCACTCATTCGAGCCACGTGCCCTGCCCAGTTCCATTTCAGTGTTGCTACTCTATCTACTGCTTCAGCCACTCCTGTTCTTTGTCGTAGCTGGCGATTTTGGATCTTGTCTTGTAGTGAAACGCCCAACATAGCACGCTCCATCGCCCTTTGACACACACGGATCTTTTGAACTGTTCTTCTTGTCACGGTCAACGTTTCCGCACCGTAAGTCAACACTGGCAAAACACACTGATTAAAGGTTTTTCTTTTAAGACATATTGGTATATCAGACGATTTGAAAATATGGTTCAGCTTGTCGAAGGCTGCCCAAGTCAGTTTTATACGACGGAGAAGCTCAACGGTTTAGTTATCTTTTTCTATGAGGACCTCATGACCTTGGTACTTATAGGCCATTACCTGGTCTATGGATCTTGTTCCTACGCATATATCTTCGCTGACTACAAGATTTGTCATCATCTGGAATTTAGATATATTTATTTTGAATCCCCCTTCTAGAGAGAAAGGTAGAGCTGATTTAAAAGTTCTTTGGCCTCATCTATCCTATCAGCTATTAGTACAATATCATCTGCAAACCTTAGATGGCTAAGCTTTTCTCCGTTTATGTTTATGCCCTTGTATGTCAGTTTTGCCCTTTTACATATATTCCAAAAGCGTAGTAAACAGTTTCGGCGATATGGTGTCCCCCTGGCGTACTTCACGTTGTATCGGGAATTTCTGGGTTTGGCTATCACCCACTCAGACAACAGATACACTTACATTAACATACAACGTATGGAATATTTATCTCTAATTTACCTCAAAAAAATTATTGGAATTAACATTCTCACTTCTCACATTCTCACAAACAACGTTGGTACTTTTCGTAGAAAACCCTATAATACATTTATGATATTATATTCTTTAGACTTTTTATGCAAGTATAATAATATATGATGTCATATTTTTTGGCACTATTCTATTTCCGGTTTCTAAGGAAATATTCTCAACTTTTTTAATTGAATAGGACACCCCATATATTTTTTCAGATTAAAAAAACTAGTTGTTCCTAATTCATCCCAATAATCCTAACAACCTATTGTATATACCAGAAAATTGGCTATATTATTAAAACATGAATTTTTCCAAATTTTTCGAAGAGATAGGGTGTTACGATTTACTTTTTTATAATTTCTTAAACAGAATAATTATAAAAATAAAACCTACGGGAAAATTCCCGGTAGCTTGGTGACCCTTCCCAGGACCAGTGTATTCTCATTAGTTTTAATAAATAAATTTGTCCATACTTTTACTGTAAAGTGATTTGTTTTGGGTTTTAACAATTTTTTTCTATCAAACTTGATGTGTATCTATCAGAAATAACAAGTTTTTTAAAATATTCAAACACTTACAGGGTGTCCCATTTAAATTTAAAAAGTTTATGAATCCAGAAGAAGAGTATGAATAAAAAATATGACATCAGATGTGTTATGTGTCATTGTATCTGCATGCAAAGTTTCATTAATATCGTTTTGTCTTTTCAGAGATAATTATTTACTCTCATACATTATTCATTTATATATGTATATATATATGTATATATATATATACATATATATATATATATATATATATATATATATATATATATAATATATATATATATATATATATTATATAATATATATATATATATATATATATATATATAATATATATATATATTATATATATATATATATATATATATATATATATATATATATATATATATATATATATATATATATTATTGTGATATTTAAAGTCATAGTGCGCCAAGCAATTAATTAGCTAATTAATTAATTAATTAATTAAAATTATTTAAATGATATGATTATGACTCTATTACACTTTTTAATTCTCTTATCTCAGGGTTAAATTGCCGGCCGTGTGCCTTGCACCCTTGGAAACCAACTGACTATCTTTTTTTCTTCAAAAACTAACTAAAGTCTCATTCTCAAACCAAATCTCCCACCTTTTCCAATCTCATCCAATTAAAACGCGTCATACATCTCCCATTTCTTCATTTCGATAACACACAAATTTTTTACCTACAATTATAAAATTTCCTAAAACTTGTTTACAAAATAATATTTTCCTACCAATTCTTAAAAACTAAAAAAAACATATCTTTCTAAAATCTATTCTGTTGTCCTAATTACTGCACAACATTTATTTGGAAAAACCGCTTCAATTGTCTATGGATTTCACTTCAGCCTATTCACGTCATACAAATATATTTTAACAAAGAAAATAATTTATGCATATCTTACGTTTTGTTAAATACAGGTAATCCAAAATTAAAAGACTTTCATTCTTCGAAATGTTTGTAGTTTATTGTTTGACTTATCTGAATTATTTTAATGTTTTGAACTTTGAAATATTTTAAGCAAACCAATATTTTTCTCGATTTTACGTATTATAACAATACATACATATATATATATATATATATATATATATATATATATATATATATATATATATATATCTAAATAAATAACTAATTTAAAATACCTGTTTTAGATATTGCAATTTCTGGAATCGTATTTCAATTTTTCTTAGCTGGTTACGAATCAACGTCTACTACTACAGCGTTTGTGTTATATAATTTAGCCAAAAATATTTACATCCAGGAAAAACTAAGGAACGAAATAAGATGTTCATTAAAAAAACATGGAAGTCTTACTTATGATGCCATCATGGATATACCATATTTAGATATGTGCGTCGATGGTAAGAAAATATTAACACAACCTTTAAGGTATATAAGGTATATATATATATATATATATATATATATATATATATATATATATATATATATATATATATATATATAGTGGTTAATGTAATATGTTATAATAATAATATATTTACATTAAAATTTATGATTCTTAAATAGCTAAACAAGAGTTTGAAAATAGAAGAAAAATTTAAAGAAATGTCAATTATCATGTTGTGACCATATTATTTTTGTCAAAGGATCTTCTTCTTCTTCTTAGTCGTTAACCTGATGCAGGTATCGTGATATCATGAAGCTGTTAGGTAATTTTTCCAATGTTCCTCCACGTTTTTCTATCTTCTGCCAATCTAGCACATTCTGACAATGGAGCGCCAATGGTAGCAACAATATGGTCCGTGTATCGTGTAGGAGATCTACCTCTACTTCTTTTGCCTTCTACTTTTCCCTGGATGGTAAGTTTTTCAAGACCATTTCTTCGAAGCACATGTCCAAAATAGCTTATTATCTGTTCTGTTATTTGTGTTCTTAGTCTTTTCTTTATGTTTATGTTTATGTCAAAGGATATCACATATTATCTTCGTATGTTGGAATTATTTGACTTTTCTTAAATTAATAACATTTAATTACGACAAAAATAGTTATTTATTAAAATACTTCGCATAGAAAATGGCAATACATATAAAAAATATCTTATTATTCATCGTTTTCGCTTTTGTCGCTATTACCGACAACATCGTATCTCGTCATTAAATGGCGTAGGTTTTTATAAAAGGGATAATATAGTGGGTCTATGAAAGGCAATACACTTTCCATCCCAGAAAAATATAAGGACTTACATATTGTCCTTATATTTTTCTGGGATGATTCGAATTTGCTATTTTTCGTAGGCAAGATAAACGTTTGACGTAGTCAGATTGAGTCGTAGTTATTCCTTTTTTCTCTTTTAAGATCAATAAATTAAACGGTTCGTCTTTAAGTAAACTGCATTTATAAAATAGCATTTCTAAATGATTTTTTTGCATATTTGTATCCAAAATATTTGGATCCAGGAAACGCTTTCATTACCTTCACCTTTCGTCTTTCTCACGAACAAACTAGATTTCAACAAATCTGTAAAAGAGAAGAAATCTTCAGTTTTTATATCATATACCTGATACTTCTGACTACTTATTCTCACCAAATCATACCAGTCGTAAAGCACACTAATTACCCCATCGAACTGATTCTTCTTCCTCTTTATGCTGTCATGATCTGTGTCATCATCATCTTTGGCTCGACAATCCTCTGTGGATCTTGGCCTGCTCTAAGATTCGTCGCCATTCTGTTCGGTTTTTGGCAACATGTTGCCATCTTCTGATTTTTAATATTCGTAAGTCGGTTTCTACTCCATCTACTCCATCTCCAACCACCTAATTCGCGGTCGGCCTTTGCTTCTTTTTCCTACAGGTGTTCCTGTGGTTAGCTTTTTAGTAATGGTATTTTCTGGCATTCGTATTATGTGTCCAGCCCATCTAAGTCGCTGTGTTTTAATGAACGTTATGACATCTGGCTCATCAAAGAGCTGATACAATTCAAAATTATATCTTCTGCGCCACTGCCCTTGGTCGTTTACAGCTCCAAATATTTTGCGGAGTATTTTACGCTCAAATATTCCCAAAAGTCTTTCATCTTTCTGCGTTAGAGTCCATGTTTCTGCTCCATATGTAAGGACCGGCCTCAGCAATGTTTTGTATATAATAATTTTAGTTTTTCTTTGAATGTTTCTTGAGTGGAAATGCTTTTGGAGTCCATAGTATGCCCTATTTGTAAGATTTATTCGTCTTTTGATTTCTTCGCTTGTTTAATTGGTAGCAGTCAATAGCGACCCAAGGTATGTGAAGTTGTCAACACGTCCAAAGATATGACTTCCAAAGACTGTTTCTTGTTCCTCATTTGCTATCGGATCTTTTGTAACCAACATGTACTTGGTTTGATTGATTGGTACAGCACTGTTCTTTTGACACTGTCGTATGCGGCCTTGAAGTCGACGAATAGGTGATGGGTTTCAATATTGAATTCTAATGTTTTCTCGAGAATCTGTCTTATTGAATGAATCTGGTCAATTGTTGATTTTTCTGGAGTGAATCCAACTTGATATTTACCAATTATGCCCACTGTGTAAACTTGAAATCTTTCGTAGAGAATATTTGCTAGTATGTTGTAAGCAGTTGTTAACAGGGTTATACCTCTATAGTTGTCACACTGGAGCTGGTCACCTTGACCATTGAAAAACCATTGACCAAAATAAATGTTCACAAATTACTTCTCTAGTCCAATTTTGCCTTTCCCAAGATGTCTTTATCTTTAATGATAAAATTTATAGACAACCAGAGGGTTTAGCAATGGAAAATCCTTTATCTCCTCTACTTGCAGATCTTTTTCTAGACTCTCTCGAAACTAACTTTGTTCATTCTCAACCACAAATAATCTTATGGTACAGATATGTGGATGACATTTTAGCCTTTATAGAAGGCCCACCTTCAGAACCTCACAATATTTTATCAATAATTAATAATCTACATCCTGCAATTCATTTTACCTTAGAAGTAGAAAGAAACAACATTATAAACTTTTTAGACCTAACTATCAAAAAGAATGCTTCCTCCTCTTCTTCTTTGCCTACACTAGAATTTTCAATTTTCAGAAAACCTACTCAAACTGACCATATAATACCAACATCCTCAAATCACCCTTTTCAACACAAGATGGCAGCTATTCAATGTTATGTCCACAGACTTCTTAATATCCCAATGTCTCAAGAAAATTACAATAAAGAAATCTCCATCATTAAACAGATAGCAAACAACAATGGTTTTCCTTCTACTACTGTTGATAAAGTCATTAGAAAATCTATACTCAAAAAGAGACTAAACCAAGCTTTTAGTGTTGATAAAAAATCCAACACTACTTCCATATATAGATCCTTATCTTACTTAGGACCAATTTCAGAAAAAATTTCAAGAGTACTTTTTAATAAAATCAGTGACTTAAACATCTTCTTTAAAACCAAATATAACATCAAGTCCATCTTCAGCAAGACCAAAGACAAAGTTGACAAACTAAACAGAAGTGGTATTTACAAGCTGTCCTGTGGTGACTGTAATATGACTTATATAGGTAGAACAATGAGAACTCTGAATTAAAGAATCAAAGAACATCTCAATAACCCAGAAAAATTAAACTTTGGATATCACATTAAATTTAATAATCATTCCTTTTCTCCTTCTGAAAACAGTAAAATTTTACACAACATTCCCAATAAAAACTTTAGACTCATGAATCTCTTGGAAGATCTTGAGATAACAAAAGAAATTAAACTAAACCCTGATTGTTGCTTAAACACACAAATCAACCTCAATTGCAATTATAAACCTCTTTATAAATTATTATGGGAGACTTTAGAGGAAGAAGGGTGACCTCGTGCAATCTTATTACATTTTTTTATAATTTTATATTTTTAAACAAAAATTCTAAACTTTACTATAAATTTACAACATTTTGTAATTCATTTGATAAGTTATTCTTAATTGAAACATGAAAATATATTCTTTAAAACAATTTTTATGCAAATTTCTTACAAATTTCCATTAAGAGATACAATTCTAAATACACTTAAACATCAGATCATGTAACAATAATACCATGTTTATTCTTTATATTATTATTGAACGATTTGAACCCTTGTTTCTTAGGGATGACTGTCAGATTGAACATACATTGACCTTGATCAATGACTTGAGTCAATTTACAAACTAATATCATTCTGTATGATGTGATGAACACATAAGATTTAATTTAAAAGCTTAAAAACTTAATTTTTAGAAAGTCTTTGATGACTATTAGTAATTCCAAACTATTAAATAATTTTGTAAGAATTTAAAAACAATCTCTATTTCCTATACATGACATTTGTCAACTGTCACTTTTAGAAAATCGTTTAAGGACCAACATTTGATTTCATTAGTTCTATTCTGTCTAGCTCCTCATAGCAAACAATGGTCGGGTTCTTACACCCGTACCATGACAAAAATTTTTTAATGTGTCTGTGAAGTCCAGTGTCGGTTTTTTGTATGTTTTTTAAGAATTTTTAACAACTAAGTAATTAAAAAAATCAAAATTTCAACAAATAATGAAATGAGATCTCTCCATTGTAGTGGTATTTATAAATTGACGTAAGTATAAAATAAAATCTTCACCAATTAGTTACTTATAAAAACATTTTATTGTAGCATAGCTCCGATGGTGGCTTTGTAAAGCCGAAAGCGCTCCGCTAGGAATTATTAAAAAATATACACACTTCAAAAATACTTTTTTGCCTTTTCTTTTGACAATACATTTTGTGAATTGGCAAACATATAACCAAGTACGTGACTATGTGCAGTTTACATTTTACTGAGAACGATTACTTTCCAAGTGTTGATTAAAATATGATTTATATTTTAATATACTTATACTTAGTTTACTTTATAGTAACACCTGAAACTAAATTAAGAAGACTAAATTGCCTCAACGGTCTCATGAAGTTATTAGTAGAAAACGTAAGGTGTAATTTACAAAATATAACGTGGCCAGCTCCAAAAACTGCCTCACCCTCAACTAAAGAACTCTGCCGATCTTGCAACCATATAAATAATTAAGATAATGTAAATTTTACTTCTCGTGTTTTAGACATACTGTAGAAAAACAAACATTTAATTTTATTTTTATTCAGGTTTGGGAGTCACATTACCTTATGTAAAAACTCGAATCACAAACAAATCAACTTTGAAGAACGTACTCCAACTTTTACTTTGGCAAAACACACGTGTAAATGATTTATATTAAACGTTTTATACCTTAGAGATCAAATGACAAAATGATTTGTTTTCCCGAAGTTATCGTCCATCTTTAAAATCTTCAGCGCCCCCTATCGGAATTGGCTATCTCGAATAAGTATAGGTAAAAGTTTATG